CTTGCTATGATCCTTATGATAGCCAAACCCGCCCTTCAGTCTCGAGTTCACAAACGATACGCTAATGTCGTCTATATTTTCAACCGTTTTCTTGAGCCTACACTCAGAGGGTAAGGGATGTCCCGCTTCCTGTCTCCACGTCTCGACATATAGACTGGTGTTGAGTACCGGTGCCATGATCTGGGAGTAAAGGTCAACGTGATCACCCGGTGCTTTGCCAAAACTGGTGAACTTTACACCACCGGCGCTGGTTATGGTCTGGACATTCATGGGACCGGAACTCCACTTCCTAGCTCTTAATGCAGCGATTTTTGATGATTTACTTTTTAGGTGGGTGCTCACACTCATGGTATACACATTTGGGTGCATATACAGTAATTGCTCAAGGATATTATCGATTTCAGTGATTTTATAGCTAATACACAGAGCTGTCTGTCCATAGGTCTCACCAGACGCTGGGTATACGTACTTATGGCCCGACTATTAGGTTATGAAACGAAAAGTTTTGAAAATTTTATGTAAACTCAAGGGATGTATACCTCTTGGGTGGCAAACTTCGGGACACTATGTATGAGCCAAAAGCCATGGCTGTCATCGGTGGCTATGACTCCCTTGGCGTGAGCGCCGGTAGACTTTTTGGTGTCGTTAGGCCAGTGGTCGTTGTAATTGATATAACTGATACCCGGGTCTACCTTTTTAGCATATATGGGCTTAATGTCTGTCCAAATATTGATGTCTCGTCACTGATGTCCACATCAGACAAAGTCCAACCGGATTGGGATTTACTGGACAGGTATGCGTACCGCAAACCCGTGTCCAAAGGGGGCCCGGAGTCGGATACTTTGGGTAGTTTGTAGACTACATACCAGTCCACAGGCTGTCCCTTTTCATCCCTACATTGTGTTTGACATCTAATTATAGCGATTATATTAAATATACATAATATTGAAAAAGTTTTCATTTGTTAAAACTTAGAATAGTTTTAAAACTTATTAATGTTATTAATTACGATAAAAATAAATTATTAAAAGTTATAAAAACTATTTTAGAAATATATATATCTTATATTGACATACTGTATGTATTTTATGATATATTTCTCATGTAAAATCATTTGTATGTTTTAATAATCTATTTATCAATTCATTGAATTAGTATTTTGTCGATTAATACAATAATAATTGTGTAATAATTATGATATTTATATGTTATAGGGGTAGGAATTATATGAGAATATAAATAGTTATGTTTTTTGTTAGTTAATTATGGAAACACCTATTTTACAGTTATTTATCGTATACATTTATGGTATATTTGTTAGGTTTATACAAAACTGATTAATTTGTGTTAAAAATAGTGTTTTAATTTTGAATTGACTAAAAATAAGTTATCAATTCAATTGCACTGTAATACATTTTAAAAATTGATTCACTTATTAAGTACACCATAATTATGTGATTATTATAAATATAAGGGTATGTATTATGGGAATAAAAGTATGTTTTTTGACACACCTTTACAATCAGTTGAAAAGTTTAATTTAAGTTTAATAGTACTTAACAAATGCTACCAAAAAACCAATAAATCTTATCACAAAAATAATTTTATTGAACAAATTATTAAAACAAATAATTATAAAATTTCTGTAATTAGTGCTCAAAAAGTAGGCAAAACTTTGTCGCATTTCTCCACATCCATCACCCAATCATTCATATGTTTCCATACGTTAGGGCTTTGGAAACATGTCTGTCCGCCACCCCTCTTAAACTGGGACTCCACTCGATTCAAATCTCCGACACAGACATAGGGAACTGTAGGTGTCTTACTGATGGCCCACTTGCTATGATCCTTATGATAGCCAAACCCGCCCTTCAGTCTTGAGTTCACAAACGATACGCTAATGTCGTCTATATTCTCAACCGTTTTCTTGAGACTACACTCCGAGGGTAAGGGATGTCCCGCTCCCTGTCTCCACGTCTCGACATATAAACTAGTGTTGATTACCGGTGCAATGATCTGGGAGTACAGGTCCACCTGATCGCCCGGTGCTTTGCTAAAACTGGTGAAGCTTACACCACCGGCGCTGGTTATGGTCTGGACATTCATATCGCCCGATATCCAGTCCTTATCGCTTAAGGCAGCGATTTTTGATGATTTACTTTTTAGGTGGGTGCTCACATGTATGGTATACACATTTGGTTGCATATACAATAATTGCTCAAGAATATTATCGATTTCAGTGATTTTGTAAGTAATACACAGAGCTGTCTGTCCGTAGGTCTCACCAGACTCTGGGTATACGTAACTATTAGGTTATGAAACAAAAAAGTTTTTCAAAACTTTATGTTAAACTCAAGGGATGTATACCTCTTGGGCGGTAAACTTCGGGACACTATGTATGAGCCAAAAGCCATGGCTATGACTCCCTTGGCGTGAGCGACGGTAGATTTTTTGGTGTCGTTGGGCCAGTGATCGCATAACTCTATGAATTTTATATCATTAAAGCTCTCATATACAGTGTTTAATAATAATGAATATAATTATATAAGTCATGAGAATAAAGTATTGTTTTAATTGCATCCTTAAGAATCAGCAAAAATATCTTAAAAACAATTTATAAATAATTATAATATATATCGTATCATATCTCCAGAATTTGTTTAATGTGATAATACATTTAATACTACAGAACATACCAGAAAATAATAGAAAATAACAAAATATTTTATAAAATATATATAGTATATTAAAATCAAACTAGCAATTTTTAAAAAAGATTTGAGATACATTATATTTAAGTTTGTAATGTTTATTAATTTAAAATTAATTAAAAAATTCAAAATGCTTATACTCGCACTGTTTTTAAATCAATAACATAGTTACATTATATATTCATATAATATGAGCAAACGATTTAAAAGGTGAAGGGAAGATTTCTAGTGATTACATTAAAATAAACGCTTACTATTATAAGCGAGGATAGTTATCGCTTATGTTTCTTTACATAACCCAATACATACACGACAACAGCAGAAACAAAGCACATACACAACAAACCACACACACAGAAAGATAGTCTCCGGCATACCGGTGCCCTTTTTGCTAGTGTTTGCGGTCGTGTTTTGCACGTTTTCCATGTTATAATCGTGGGTACCCAACGTGGGTAACTGAGTGTCCACTCTCTGTCCCCAGGACTCGGCCAATAGGCTGACGTTGAGCACCGGCGCCACAAACTGGGTGTACAGTTCCAGGTGATAGTCGGGTGTTTTGCTTATACTGGTGAACTGTACGCCACCGGCGCTTACGACAGTTTCGACGTGTTTATCACCAGAACTCCATTTCCTAGCGGTTAACGCGCCGATAGTTTTGGATTTACTTTTCAAACCGGTGCTGATATTCATGGCGTAGATATCTGGTTGTATATATAGCATTTGCGTGAACACCTTGTCCATTTCAA